CAAAATTGTTCAGTGAAACTACAAGGGTCCCAGAGTGTCTCTCTCATTAGCATAGTGGTTAAAGATTTTTGTGCAAGGAATAATCAATCAATTCAACTTTATTACTACTTGCTACATGTAAACTGATGTAATTGCCTAATGGGAAATAAATTGTTCTAGGATCTTTCGAGATGAAACATATGGAAATCACTGCAATATCCTATTACCTTCCAATGGACCAGAGCATCTCTGATAATTTCCAGAATGTAACTAGACTTACTTTCAAATAGAAAAGGTTGACATAGGCAATAAAATATTAAGGCTTAATTATAAAATAAGTGTCCAAATTATACCGCTTTTCCTAAATAGGTGCTCAAACTTTTTTTTGAATCATCCAGGTGTCTAATGTTACAAACGTTACCATTTAAGGTGCCTGGGACATAACGACCATTAAAAATACCGTTAAGTGACGTTTCATTCTCTGATAATTTTGGGGAAAAAATGAAAAAATATATAAAATTCTTAAAATTACCAGAAAGTGACATGTGTCACTTAACGGTGGAATTTAACGGCCATTACAGCCCGAACACCTAAAGTGGTAACGTTTGCAACATTAGGCACCTGGATGATTCAAAAAAAAAGTTTGGGACCTATTTGGGGAAAGCAGTATAGTTTGGGCACTTATTTTATAATTAAGCCAAATATTAAATGCCTTATTACCACCTTTTTAGCTGTTAATGGGTTATCACTATACATCCACTCTTGTAGCTGAATGATTCCTCCTTTGTATAATCAACATTTTATATGCAGCACTTTCCAAACCAACATTTTATATGTAGTACTTCTCAATGTAAGTTGAAACATTCTAGCAAACTTCACAGAGAAAAAAATGCCAGGGTGGTCACAATAATAATAACACCCATACCAATTATCATTAGCCACAGAACATTCTAACTTGAAGACCCTATTTATCATGGCATATTTTGCAACTATGAAGTGTCATTCCAATCCAAGCAGAGACAGCAGATAACAACAGAGAGGTGGATAGCAACAAGCCAACAACTTAAAAACCGAACTATACATTCCCCAAAGTAATTATTCATAAACACCTAACAAAGAAGTTCCATACACTGTATTTACTAAAAACAAATAACAATCAAATAAAATCAAAAACAAAAAACTAGATCAAACCCAATTGGTCAAAATGAGAAGCTTCCTTAATGCTAACATAAAAATGGTTTCTTTAATTTTTATTCAAGCTCATTCTGGTAAAAACATAGTTAGTGTAAGATTAAATCAAACCCCAATTCGCTCCCTCCCCCAACAAATAATACACAATGCTATTGAGGGATTTAAGAACACTTACCACTTATACCTCAGGAAGTGACCATCGAGAGGGGATGACTCAGGCACGTCATCGGTAGTAACAGTCTTGTCAGGTCGGCGTAAGAGCAGGTAAGGCGTGAGCTCGCAGCCAACAATTGGTATATCAGAAGGGAGGTGCACCCGTAGCACGCTCAGCATGCTTCAACTTCCTCGTCTTCCTTTGTCACAGTTAACAACGATCACCGCTGTTTAAGCCTGTCAAAACCAATCCCACACTAACAGTATCAGCAGAACAAGATATGACCTCGAAAATATGAGCAATCCTATTGGGGCGGAGTCCAGGCGGATCAACCATTTACTTGAACCAAGCACCCGCCAGCCTTGACCCAAAATCACCCTTTCTTTTCCTTCGATCAAACTAACCTAATTCAATATTGAAATAAAATGCGAAGTTAACAACGGATCTTGTAACAAACTTTAGGGTTCCGAAAAGAACCTATCCACGGAATGGGCAAAGGGGGAAACGAGAGATGGAATGGTAATTAGGGTTTTACATACGAACTGAATAGAATATTCAGAAGTGGGAGGTGTCGCGGCGGAGCGATGGCGGAGGTATGGCTGCGCAGCGCAAGGGTGGTTTTGTTTGGGTTTTCCCCTCGTTTATTGGGAGCTTAGCTCTTTATAAAGATCGAAGGCAAGGGGACTCGCAGTTTTTTTCCTGATTTTCCTTAATATTATTTTTGGATAAACTACGCTTCTAGCCACTAAACTTTAGCATGTTCTTCTTTTGCTTATCCAAATTAGAGGTAAATAAAGAAATTGAGTAAACTAGAATGTCTGGACGATTTACAAAATAGTTAGTTGAATCAAATTTTTATTTTATTTATAATTAAATTTCAATTTTTATAATATTAAATAATTATTTTATACTTAGAATAGTGAAAATAATTTTAAAATACTAATAAATTATTTTTAAAACAGAAACTAAATAACATTCCTAATTGTTTGATCTATCGTTTGTAATCATTAAAATGGGCCTACGTGTCAGCACATTTACCGACGTAGCATGTTCCATGTAAAATATAAATTATGTTCATATTTCAGGTGATCTGTTACATAAATAAGGACACTTCTTTAAGAAATAATCTTTTAAAAGGCGTTGTTACGTAAATTAACTCCGTCCTGTACTAAAAGTTGATGTCATTTTAAGAAATAAAACTTTTTTAATACTATTTTGATAAATAAAAAATTAAAAGAGTATTATTTCAATAATTTAACCATTAACAAATCAATAATCTTTGACCGAGGGATAAGGCACTGGACTTGTAATGAACCTACATTCTATAGAAATAGTTCAGAATACTCTTTGTTGCCTCACTAGACCATTGGTATTCATCGTCTTCTTTTTTATTTTCTTATCTCGTGAATTTTTTTAAAATTTTAATAATTTTATCTTTATGACACGTTTTTCCTCTATTTTTACGATATTTTTTTTTGACATGATTTTGGTATTTGTATCGATCGTTTTGGCCTTTATATTTGATTAATTTCCTCAGGGTTAAATTTAACATTGTATAGATTGATTAAGATAATGCTTATTTATTATCATGATAATCTTCTCTATTTATGACCCTCGAATTAAATTTGGATGCACGGTTTGTATTCGAAAATAATTTTCTTAGGATGCTCTATTCTTATTTGCTATTGTCGGTGGTCATTCACTAATTCAATCCATTATTGTGTTTCGTTTGCTGATGTAGTTAGATTTATCTGTATCTATATTCTTATTTGCGATTGTCACTGCTTATCTCGTGAAAAAAGGCACTACATAACCTTATATTTTTGTTTTAACAAATACAGCCAAGTGTATCGACTGTGAACATCAAACGACACATAATACATAAAATAATAGGATAAATTATGTGTTCAGTGCTTAAATTATCAGTTTTAGTTCGTTTTAATACTCAAACTTTTAATTTTTTTAAAACCATACCTAACAGTTAGTTTTTGTTTCATTTTAGTATCTATCGTTAAAAACTTAATAGAACTGTTACACATTGACACTTTTTTATGGATAAATTACATTATTCATCCCTTAACTATCTTCTCACATATTCTGGTCATTGAAGTTTAATTTTTTAATTTAATTTTTTAAATGTCATATTATTCCTAATTTAATTACTCTAACTTTCAAATTTAATTTTTATTTTAATTATATATTAATAAAATAAAGGAAATCATGTCACAAAATATTATCAATTAAATAAATTAAAGTGATTAAAACATTAGCGATTTGAAAGTTGAGAATTTAAATTGAAAATGTTTAAACCTTAATGACCAAAAAAGGAGTGAGAAGATAGATAATGGATGAATATGTAATTTACCCAAAAAATATCACGTGCAGAAGTTTCGTTAAATTTTTAACGATAGTACTAAAATGAAACAAAAAAACGTTAGGTATGGTTTTGAAAAAATTAAAAGTTTAGGTATTAAAATGAATAAAAATTAATAATTTAATTACTAAATATGTAAGTTATCCTAAATAATAATAGGGATTGGTCCCCATGCATCAGGGACAATAAGTTGGTAATGAGCTTTATGTTGGGTCAAAAATGTTGAAAATAAAGCAGCTTGATATCGCTTTAGCTATATCTCAGGTTAGAATCATTATCTATGCAGAAAATCCCTGTCGGAAGACTTACCCTCTAAAACTATGTGTGCGACGTAGGTCAGTTCGGATTAGTTAGAGTAAAACCTTATCAACAAGTTGAAAATGAAGCCTATTAACTTCTCCTTGTGAACAAGTAAGACAAACGTTGGGTATATTATCCTTACCTACAATTATACTACATAACTAAAAAATGATCTTAAGGTCATTTTGTGAAGGGTGTCTAAGGCACTAATGCCACAATTCAAAGTCACTTGGAGATTTGGGATACTGGTAGTAGATTTTCTTTTTTATTTCTGGAATTATTATTCAAAAAAACCTTATGTTAAATTGATGTTTCAAATTATTTATTGATACCAACAATGGCATATACAAAAATATTTTTTAAAGTGACCCACGTATATTAATTTACTGATTCATATTCTATTACGTAGATCTTTAAAACAGTATCTCATATGCTCAAAGTGGTTGAGTGATGAATAAGAAATTGATGCTAAAAGTAGTGTACATGCGAATTGTGTTATGTAAGAAAAATGAAAAAACATATATCTCACATTGGTAGAATATTAAGCATTAGAATTATTTATATTCACCAACCTGCTTATTAATCATTGAATGACTTGGGTTAAAATTGTGTCTCGTGTGCGGGGCTTGCAAAACCAAGCTTGCCAAACCCTTTGAGATTTGGGGTGCATGATGTGGGCGACGCGAATGTTCGATTGGTTGTGTCCTTCAGGTTCTCTGGATATTTTAATGAAGCTTATATTTTTTTAATATTAAATAGGATATTACTTGCAATTCACGAATATATTTGATATGATACGGTGTTAATTGATTATTTCTGATTTTATTCGAATACTAATTAACAGTTGAAATATTTTTAAGGCGGTATTAATTGATTATATCTGATTTTATTCAAATACTAATTAATAATTTGAATATATTATTTCCAATTTGTATCCGTTGTGAAACACTATAAATACCGTGCTAACCTTATGATCTCGCAAGTTGTGCTGCCGTTCGCTGATCATATCGTTGTTGTATCCTGGGAGACAAGTGACCAAGATATCTCGAGAGCCAAGGAGTGACCAGAAATCTGTCTTAAAAAAACTGCGTATTTACAGGCCTCAACCAACTCTTGGGGTGCCTTTATTAAATAACCTTTCTTTGGATTCGGAAACAATCCAAAAGAGTATCTCGCCTCCTTTCCTTTCATCATTACTCGGTGATATGGGGGTTGCAACCTGCCATTTAACCATGCCTGCAACAAACAACACACTTAAATTAACCATTTCAACTTGGAATCTCAGTCATTATAATGTATGCTAGTAATGCAAATAAGATTATCTTTAGGGACTTGCGTTATTCATATTCAGAGTTTGGTCGAAACAGTAGTTGTCATTTGATGATTTTACTCGGCTAATATTCTAATAAAAGGATCTCTTGGAACGTACAGTTGGATGATTACTTTTTTTTTCTTCGGAAATTTCTTGTTGTAAGAGAGCAATACAAGCATATTTTACTTCCTCAATTTGGGTGTACGAAGTTTGAAAAGTTATGTTAACCCTGAGTGACAACGTGCATTCTCGAGATTACATCAATTTAGACAAAATCGCTTCAAGACAATGATTTCTATCACGATACGGTAAATTACCATATTTCTCTTATTGCTTTATTATTATTATTAGGATAAATTATACATTTAGTACTTAAACTATAAGTTTTGATTTGTTTTATTACCTAAACTTTTAATTTTTTTTCAAAATCATATTTAAAGTTTAGTTTTTGTTTCGTTTTAGCACCCCTTTAAAATTTAACGTTACTTTTTGATTTTTTTTTTGAAAATTTAGGTACTAAAACATATCAAAATTGATAGTTTAGTTACTAAACGCATTAAATTTTTAACGACGATATACTAAAATGAAATAAAAATTAAACTCTGAGTATGATTTTAAAAAATAAAAAGTTCAAATATTAAAATAGACCAAAATTAATAGTTTAGGTACTAAATGCATAGTTTATTCTTAGTTTTAATTGTGTTGCTCTCTCCAAAAAGAATTTTTTGAAAAAAACAATTCAATTGTATGTTTCAATTACGGGGAGAGTCAGATACTGTCCTTTTTATAGGGATAATAGAGGGGTAAAATTATCGAACGACAACTATTCACTTCGATCGCTCCTAAATAACTCGATCCCAAAATTAGTTTCTCACTTTTTTATTACTAACTATGTAAACAATTATCGAACCAAAGTGATCTCCGTGGTAAATGAATTATTAGTCCTTGAGGATTAGGGTTCGACACTAAGAATTTCAAGGGTCTTAGCATTCAATATCAAGAGGTTGAGAATTATCATTGAACAGATACTGCCATGCACTTACCCTATATTAATAAAAAAAAACAATGTAAACAACTTACGTGGACAGAATCGCCGAAGAAGACAGTCGAAGAATGAGGTTTAGCAGCGACCCATTCTCCATTTTTCAGCTGAATTTCCAGCCCTTGGATGCCTTGGCATAGGACAGTGACTATGTTCTTATCCGTGTGATCTCTTGACTGAAGCTTCTTCTCACTTGTGTTTGGTGCTTTGTATTTCATTGCCCAAAACTCTCCAATACCATCCTCATTACCATTCGATCGACCTCGGGCATTCGCTCCACCATCCATCCCATGCTTTTGCTGCAAAATATCACGAAAATTGACATCAAAATTTTCACAAAAATGGACCAAAAAAACCGATGGAGTTATGAAATGGGACATGAAATTAGTGTTTCCATGGGGCCAAAAGCTATTGGGAAGGGACTCGACGTTTTGAGCGACGTTTGGATCTTCAATCCCTATGCTTTCGTAAAGTAGTGCATTAGCATGGGGTGCGATATAGGCATGAGAGGGATTGTCCGACACATTTTTCATCTTGGTTTCCAGTGGCAACTCGAAAAGGTTGAGACCTTCGAACTCCGCCTTCCGAAGCTCCGACGAAGATTTCTCGTACGATGCCTCGAAGCAACCGTACTCTTCAAGTGCTTGTTGGACTCGGGTCCTTACGGAATCCCATTCCGGAGATCCTGGCTTGAGGTGTTGATCGGAGAAATCAATGACCGGAAGTTCACCCATTTCCCCTCTTTTGGATGTGGATTACTCGAGTGTTTAATTATGCATGTATTTGTATTTTACTGCACGAATTAAGTGACTTTTATAATAAAGAAATTGTTGTTATTCTTTAAGGATTCAGGTTTAAGCATCATAGATGTTAAAGATATGAGTATTTAATGTCGAAAAGTTGAGAGATATTTAAACAAATATTACCTTGTATTTATCCTTAATTTATCTTTATTATCCATTTAGGCTGTTGTAGGGTGTAGAATATATTCATGATTCGGCAAGGTGGGGTTTTGTGTTAATAAGTTCGATCCAATTTGATCAATGATTTATTGTCTTATTCAATGGTTGACTTTGGCATATATAGTTCGGCAAGCTTAATATTTGGTTTCGAGTCGAGTTATTTAATTTTTTTTAAAATTTAATTATAATTAATTATATGATTAATCATTTATGTTTGTGTTTTGTCTATCTTTCTTTATTTCAAAAAAAAATAATACATAGTCATTTGTGTTTTTATTTAATTAAAATATGATCACTTTCGTTTTTATTTAATTAAATATGGTAATCACGAGATTATTTGTCATGAACAATAGACAGATTAAGTAACATGACAATTAAACATTATGGTATAATCACACATTTTGTCAATGTTATTTGCATGAACCATCACATCAACACTATAGACCGCCACGTCAGCATCATGAACTGACACGTAAGTACTATAACGGTTAACGTAAAAAAAAACGTTGGTCAAAGGGCATATTATACCGATATTAATATAGAAAAAATATTATATTATCATTTTTTAATAATTATTTGAGTTTGATGTCCAATCTAGATTAACCCATTCAACTACATTAATAGAATATTTGAAATCATGGCAAGAATATAATTTTCTCTGTGGATTTAAAAAAAAAAAAATCATGCATGCAACTGAAGATGATAACTTCCCAACTTTTCATGCCAAACAAAATATCTGAACTTCGTTATTATCATAATAAAACCTCAAGAAAATATTGTATTTATTTGTTTTGCCAGTTCCCCCTTGGAGATTATATTATTCTTTGATATTATGGCTTCATTCGTATAATTAAACATTACACGTATAACTATAAATCTTCGTTGATCAATAATTTTTAGAGCAGACGATTAAAAGCTCTCCTTTCGGTTGACGTTTTTTTTCTCCATTAAGTTATGGGTTCAACACTCATTAGCAATTAAATTCTCATCCCCTCCCTATAGTAGAAATTGTTCGAAAACAACCATCACCTTAATTCATTTTTTTGAGAATAACGAATGCAAGCGATGACATCTATAATACCCTAAAATCGACATAAAACTTACGACGAGTCTATGATACCATAAAGGGTTAGGTCTCTTAAGAGTGGCGGATGAGGAGAAAAAAAAAAGAAAATAAAGGAAAATACATACATGACATCTCATGTATCCCAGAATTCGGTATGTATATCAAAACCCAATAAATCTCAAAATTCAGTGTCTACAAAGGGAAATGAGAAGGGTTGTTAATATCAATATAGTATGCATATTGTAAGATTAAAATGCACAAGGAAAAAGCTACGACACCCAAATTAGTAATTGGCATTAGTAGATACATTCTAGGATTAGCTGATTATTATTTTTTTGATTATGCTAAAGTGATTACAAAGTACATCTACTCTAAATAACCTCAACTATTTGTCAATTAACGTTCAATCACTTTGCTACAGTCGCTGGTGCTCGAACCTATGATCTCTAAGAACAACAACAATTCCTTTAACCACTTAGATAAATTAGTTCGTGCGGATGAACAGATTATTAACACAAAATACATGGTCCATGAGCTAAATATAGATGACAGAGTTGGCTATGAAAATTAACAACTTCCCCATGTCTTTTACAAAACAATGAACAAAAAGGGGGGAAAGCATCGTGGAAGTAAAAATTATCAGACACAGTGAGCTTGCATTGTTTATGTAAATGGAGAATAAAGATGGGTCTTCTTTCAAGGTCACCTGCACATTTGTTTTGCCAAGCGAATGATGATAACATTTCGATTCACATCATGTCGACACAATGGATTCGAAAACTTTATGATCATCCTCTTAGAATCAAAAATGTCGAAGCCCGACTTCTTTGTAAACGAAATGCAGTTAAAACTATTATTGAGCTGTTCCTTGACATGATCTCCTAATTCAGTCGTCTCCTTCTATGCACTCGAGAGTCGCTGCTGTCGACATCTGAAACCCTAAAATTATCATTTCTTCTTCTGGAAGATGAAGCTGAAAGTGATATCACAGAGTCTATTTCGGCAGCAGTGTCCATTTGACTTTCCGAGTTTATTACAGCAGCAATGCTTGATAACGAATCTCTATCATCGACTGGAAGTGGCTGCTCCTGGTTTCTTCCCACCAGATTGCTTCGAAAATACGCTTCGACTATCCTTCCTGTTGAACTCAATGAAGATGACAGAGAAGTAAATCTTGCAACTCTACGCGACTGTCTTTGACGGAACAAAGAATGAATCCGGGATGACATGACATCAGTGCCACTTGTGCTGCTAGGCCTCAAGTCAGCATCATCAAGTGATGCAACTGTAGTTTGCTCTCCACGCAACCTGCCAGACGTCAAGATCCTATTTAGGACAGAATCAGCTATCTCCGTCTTCCCTGGGCACCACTGGCCTCTCGTGCAGTAGTCAGGTCTTGGCTCAAATCAAATCTGCTTCCAAGGCGACGAATCATCTCCTCCACGGGGAGATTTAAAGCCGTCCTTTGAATAGTTTGCCTCCAACTCTCCACCCGCCGTGCAGTGGGCCGAGGAGGGACCTTCAGACCCGAGTTATCTTCTGGCTCAAGGTCAATTTTCCCCCTACCATAAATCGGGGTCAGAGTTTTAACTGTCACCTCTTCTTTACAAACAGGACATTCCATTGCATCTGAATTCACATCTAACAATTGGTAGAGGCAACACCAACAAAACAAGTGACCGCAACAAGTTACGACAGGTTCCCGGGCCAAACCCATGCATATGTTACAATTAAAGAAATTCCCATCATTTCTAACTCCCTTTTCCACATCATCCTTGCTTTCCGAAACATCATCTTCCATGAATCCATCGGAATTCTCACACGGGTTGGGTACATCACTCACTCTTTCTTCCACAATGGCACTGCCCTCACCTGTCTGTGCCGTATCCGCATTGTCTGAATTCTCCATAAACTGATTCAATTCCACAGATAGGTACTGAGTTGCAGCAGGAAACTGAACCTGTTGCCATCTCCACCGCCGACGTCGAACCGCTTCCCTAATCCGATTAAACCGGGTATCGACCGAATTATCCGAACCCAAACCTTCATTAGACACTGATCCTGACCCTGTCTCAGGAGTAGGACCCAGATTCAAATCAAGATTCATTGCATCATATGTTTCCTCACCCATAACGAATGCTCCAAAACCCCCTTATTCGCGATCCCATATAAAAGACCTTTAATTTACTCTAAGATAGAAGAAACTCATACCACAGAATCACAAATGCAAGCCCAAACCATAAAAAATACTAAATTTTACCCTAAAACACAATAAAACCCAAATTCAAGAACCCTTTCTTGATCGCTAATTCAACAAACCTCAAAGTATACGATTATCGCAAATATCATGAACCCAAATCTAAAATCCAGACTCGAAACCTCCAAAATTAAAAGAAACCTAGCTTTAGGCCATCAAGCTGGTGATTATAAGTACAAAGATGTATGGAAATATTATAGTAAAAACGAGACTTACAAAGGAAAAAGAGAGACTTGACTTACAGCTGCCAATCTTGACCACCAAACTAGGAGCTTTAAGTGCTGTGAGTCAATAAGTTAGATTGAGCAAGCCCGTTTCTGAGAAAATTTGGCTGAAACCCGAGTCGCCATAGATTGTTATCTTCTTGGGTCAGCGAAATTGTCTTTTTTATAGAGTAAAAAAGGGACACTATTGAAAGAGGGCAAAACTACCGAGATAATGCATGCGGAAACGTTAATTCCCAAAATAATCTACTAAGACTATTATTTTCCAAATGGATGTTTGCTACAGATAACATGCAAAGGTTAGGATCTCTCGACGTCATTAGGGAAAGGATTTAGGTTGTCTCAGCGTCTTCAACTTACATTGGTTCAAAGGATCTCTGGCGTCTTCAACATAAGAATTTCCATGCATGAAATGGATTGCTCGGCGTCTTATATGCAAATTATACGTTGTTTGGCAGCCATGGCTTGTATTCATTCAAAGGATTTGTCGGCGTCTTTAACACAGAATGTCCATGCATGAAATGAATTGCTCGGCGTCTTCTAGGTTCGTTCAAAGGATGTCTCAGCGTCCTCATTAATAAAAATTCCAATCAAACTTGGATTGTCTCGGCCTCGACGTGAGCTGTTGCTGCTGCTGAAGCTGGTGCATGTGGGGCATGTCGACGTGAGCAGAGAAGGCGCAAAATCTTGCATGCATTAGGATCTCTCGGCGTCTTCTTCATATTTAATGGGAGATGTCTCGGCGTCTTGTGCATGCAGGATCTCTCGAACGTCTTCTTCAGCCTTCGGGGTGGAATTCTCGGCGTCTTCTTCATCAGTATTGCATGCACGGGCCGCCAATAATTCAATGCAATGGACGTTTATAAGAGGGGTCGGTTATGGAATTCATATGAGTTAGTTTGAACACCAATAATTAAATGTCAATAATTAATCGAATTAATCATAATGTCAAAGAAAATTTTATATAAAAGCGTATATTTTATTAATGCAAAAACATTAGGGCCCAAGATAACATTAAACAAAAGTATACATAAAAGCATTAATTTTATAAAGTAGCACTACTAAACAAAAGCATTAAGAAAGGTGACAGGAACTATATTTATTATATAAAAGTGAATCATGCACGCAATAATGTAAAAGAAAATTTTGCATGGTGTGGGGGATGAATCGGAAATCACTCCATGATATGCGGCATGTGAAGCAATAATGGTGTTGTTAATGCACC